CCAAATTCCATATGCAGTGAAATGGATCTAAAGACAACAGATATTGTCAGAGAAACAAAAGAGATCTGAAAATGTCCCAAACATACTCCCTTCTTGAAGGTGTTATTAAATATTATTTCATTTCATCTTCATATTATTTATTTTATTTTATCTTCATATCATCCCTACAATATAGCTCTTTGGTGCCACTTAAAAAAGAAGAAAATAAAGCTTAGATTAAGTAGCTTCTCCAAGATCACATATATAATACCAGATGCGGTCAAGGTTTCAACCATGTCTGTTTGGTGACAAAGTCCTTGCTCTTATTGGTTAGTTCAGATAATTCCTTTAAATAGTTATTAGGATATCTTTCCATCAAAACATCAGGCAAAAAAATACACAAATTTCATGACTATTCAAGAGCTCCCTAATCACCCCCATAGTCTTCTAATTGTATGCCTTTCATGGCACCCATTTCCATCACCTTCCTTTTACTTATCTTCTTTTGAATATCATCTGGATAGAATTAGGCATGGCATATATCATCATCAATTCAGGCACATTCTTCTGATTTATATTGTTTCTTCCTTCAAATACTATTCCCAGTCCTCTTCCTTTCTCTCCTACCTGAGCAGCACTCTATTTTATTTGTCTCTGCTTTCAACCTATCTTCCAAAGAATCATATTCATGGTCTCTACAAATTCCTCATCGATTGTTCCTTTTTGTCCCTTAGGAAGCTTTGTTTTATCTTAAGCACATGGCTAATATTTGCCTGTAAAAGCTTTCTCTATCTCATTTTTTTTTCACTTTAGTTACCTAACTTGCCCAATGTAATAATGGAAAAGGCTCTTTGGACAACAGACCTTGAACACCAGCTCTCCACTGCTTCTTAATAGAGGGAGAGAGGAGACCAGAAGACAAACACAGGTGAATTTATGAACATGGACTTTTCATTCCACTGCCTAGATTGAAAGTAACAGTAGTAATCTACAAATCTGGGAAATATATATATAAAGTGAAACCAGGAAACTTTTCTTTGTGGTGTTTAATAATGTTGCCTTATAATTGAAAATAACTAGGAGGAATAGTAGGTGAAAAACAAAAATAGAAATATGCTAAAACATATTTCCAGTAATTTTATAACTTACTCATCTCCATTTATGAAAAGTTAGCCTCATGGCCTTCCTCAAAATGCTCTGTTTCACAAGACCTTTATTGTAATAGAAATTAATTTGTTTCTATTTCATTGTCCTTCATTGAATCATGCATTAAAGTGTGTTATTTATTAGAGCTAGTTGTGTTTAAACTTATCTCCCAACTGAATTATTAAACATTTTGCCATTTCTAACACAGGGCCTTGCACATAGGTGTCCAATTAACATTTGCATAATTGAATACATTAGCACACAAAAATATCTTTATGCATTTTATGACTTTAAAGCATTGATGATATGACTGTCATTACATGGAAAAAAAGGGGTGATTAAGACAATATATGCCAATACATTCTGAGATCAAAGATAAGTGTAACATATAACATAATATCAGGATGTTATGATTTTTATTATTCTCTTTATCTTAATTAACAAAACAAAACCACTTCCGGCTTCTACAAAATTACTTTGCTTTGAAAGTACTTATCTCTCTTTAGCAAATCAATGCCTTTATTCTTGTTTGTACTCATTTTACAATTCTGCATATTATAATATTGCTATCAACTAATGCTTATGTTCTCCTAAAACTCACGTGGAAATCTAACCCTCAGTGTGATGGCATTTGGAGGGAGGACATTTGGGAGGTGACTAGGTGATGGGCATGGAATCTTTATGAACAGTATTAGTATCCTCACAAAAGAGACCCCCAAAACTCCCTAACCCCTTCTGCCCTGAAAGTATACAGTCAGAAGATGGCCATCTATGAACCAGGAAACAGGGCCTCACCAGACACCAAATTTGCCAGCATCTTCAGCTTAAACTTTTCAGCCTCCAGATTGAGATATAAACGTTTGGTACTACACCACCCAGTATTTTGTTAGACCAAGACAAGTATATAAAATGTTTGCTTCATCCATCATAAATATTTAATATCTAGAATTTCAAGTGATGTGAAACGTTACTTTATACTTCCATGAATTTTACAAAGCTCTCCCATCATGATTTCCTTACAAGAATTTTCAGCACTTACGCTGAGGTAATACTTTGAAATCTTTATGTTATTTGATTTTATTGTAAATAAGCAATTGCAATAGAATTTAGAGCAGTTTTCTTTGCTGTAAAGTCATCTTTCTACATCTCCAGTACATTTTCATGAGAGATTGTCATGTTCAAATTGTTACTGATTTCATCCTTAAATACAGATTGCAGATGAAACGCATGTACCAATTCATCACACAGGAACAGAGACCTGAACACCCCACTCCAATTTTGTTAATTAGCAGATGAGCCAGATGTTTAAATAAGCATGTGTGTCTTGAGACATTGCCCAAAGTTCAAGATAACCTAGTCTATGTAGAATTGTAGGAGTGTATGCTTTTATCAACAAATGCCACTGCATATGGTCCTGCTTAGAACCTGTCTCTGATGATACATGGGAAGAATTGTAGCTTTTTTGGAAATAAAATACTGAAGAAGGAAAAAAGCAGTAGAAGTAGTTTGAAATTAAGATTCCAAGTCATTCTGAACTTTAATAGAAGAAACCAAAACGTTTAGCATTACACAGCAAGCAGGAAGGGAGCAGAGACTATCAGTCCTGCCAAGTTGCTTTAGTCTCTTTGCGACTGTAGCCCACCAGGCTCCTCTGTCCATAGGATTCTCCAGGCAAGAAGACTGGACTGGGTTGCCATGACTTTCTCCAGGGGATCTTCCTGACCCAGGGATCATGTCTCTTATGTCTCCTGCACTGGCAGGTGAGTTCAGTGAAAAATAATGGCTAAATAATGGCTAAGTCCAACTAGGAGATGGGAAGCTGGGTCTCTGTGCTGAAGACTGTTAGTATCATGCAGGAGAGACCTTGGGAGACTTTGAGCTTAGAGACCATAAAAAGCAGGAAATCCTCAGGTGTAAGTGCTATTCAAAATTCTGACTTCTTCAAATGACTCTCAGGCAGTTTAAGTCTGTTCAGGACTTGCCAAAGAAGGCTCTTAACTGAAACTGAATCAAAATTCTCACACTGTATTCTTCACTTCACCCTCCTCTGAGCTTCACTGTGAAGACTTTCTTTGCAAAAGCAAAGCCTGAAAAAGTTTGCCTCTCTTGAGGCAAGGTTATGCTTCCTCTGATCTGATAATGAAAATTAACTCACTGATCAAGACTCTCTTTTCCCTCAGAGTCAAATCCAAGACTGAATAATAGTAAATACTTTAGAATCTAATCACCTGCATATATCTTTTCTACGCTTTACTTTCCACTTCTGCTTATGTTTCCCTTCCTCCTTATTTTCTATCTCTACTTTATCATGATTATAAATAAGTGTTCCCGCTGTAAGATGATTCAAATCCTCTGTGGATCAAGGTGGTGAATAAGTAAGGAACTAAATGAATACTTATGATCTGTCTCTTTAATACCTTGATCCACCTATTAATTTCTTTATCCTCTGTCCCAAGGCATCCTTTCCTCAATAAATGGCTCCACTGTCTACCCAGATCTCATGCCAAAAACCTACGAATTATCTATAATTCTTCTCTTTTCATCATCCTTTACATACAATACATCAGTAAATTCTATTGGCTCTTCCTCTTCAGTACATCCTGTTTGATTTTTTGGATTTCCTCCTCCAGTATTCTTGCCTGGAGAATCCCATGGACAGAGGACATGACTGAACAATTGAGCATGCATCCTCACACGTCTATCTCTATCACTTCTTGCCTGGTATACCATCTCTCTTCTGGAGTGCAAAAAAATTTACTATTAATTCTCTATCACTCCCCTTGTATTCTACTACAATAATTTTAAGACTTAATATTTTTAGAGTTGTTTTAGGTTCATGGCAAAATTGAGAATTACATACAGAGATTCCCGTATACCTCCTGCTCCCACATACGCCTAGCCACTCCCTTTCTCAACATTCCCCACCAGAGTGTTACACTGTTGTAAGTGATGAACCTACATTAATACAACATCATCATGCAAGGGCCATAGCTTACACTAGGGTTCACTTTTGCTGTTGTAGGCTCAGTGAGTTTGGACAAATGTTTAATGACATGTATCCACCATTAGTATCACACAGAGTATGTTTACTGCCCCCCAAACACCCTGTGCTCCACCTATCCATCCCTTCCTCCACTCCTGACTCCTGACCACTGGTCTTTTTGCTTCTCCATAGTTTTGCTTATTCCAGACTCTCATATAGTTAGAGTCAACTTTTCAGACTGACTTCTTTCACTCAGTCATAGGTATTTAAGGTATCTCCATGTCTCTTCATGGTTTGATAGCTCATTTCTTTTTAATGCTGGGTAATAAACCACTGTCTGGAAGTACCACGGATTATTTATCCATTCTACCTCCAGAAGGACATCTTGGCTGCCCCCAAGTTCTGGCAACTATGCATAAAGCTTCTATAAACATTTGTGTGCAGGGTTTTGTATGGATGTAAATTTTCAACTCCTTTGAGTAAAAATACCAAGCAGTGTGATGGCTAGATAGTATGGTAAGAATATGTTTAGTTTTGTAAGAAACTGCCAAACTGTCTTCAAACTGGCTGTGTCATTTTGCATTCCCACCAGCAATGAATGAGAGTTCCTGTTGCTCCACACACAATTATGTTTTTTATATTATGATCTTTTAAAATATAAGGCATATATTCCTCTCTGCTGTTTAATATCCTTCTGATCGGTTCTATTGCCCTTTAAATACACTCAAAGCTTCTTTATCGGGCCAACAAGGTACCTCATAATCTGGCCACTGCCGATGTCTGTCCTTCTAGTCACAATAGTCTTCAAGCTTGCAGGTCATCCTTCTTTATCCTCAGACATGTCAAGCTTATTCTCATTTTCCCACTTACCATTGCCTGTGGCCAGATCACTATGCCCCATAGTGTCTCAAGGCCGCCTCCTGCTTTCAGGTCTTGCCAACCCACCTCAAGCACTACTTTCTCAGAGATGCTTTTCCTCACCACACCACTGCCCCCACCAGCATCACTATCAGACTCACATAGCCATCTCCTACCACACATCACCTCCAACTTCACCTTTATTTCCTTCATTGTACTTATCTCCATTTATGTCTTATTATATTTGTTTATTACTTATTTATCTTCTGCCTTCCAATATAAGTTTCTTAAAAAAAGGGCCTTGTCTTTCGTGAGTATTGTTTCATCTCCATATCTAAAAGCACATATACTAGGTGCTCAATAAATATTTATTGAGCTAATGAATGTTTAATGTTTCTTAAATATACAGCTCAGCTACTTGAATCAAGGCAATGAGAAATAATAAAGAATAGTCAGACACATTGCCTTTTAAGAACTAAGGTCTATTTGGAGGGACAAGCTAAAGACACACAACACAAATAGAAAAGCAAAGACAATATGGGGTGGGGGGCAAACACTGTCCCATTGTAAATGAGACTGGCAAGTTCAATGAACAGTAGAGAAGAGCAGCCTCTATCGAATTTCTGATGGCCCGGGATTTGCTGTTCCTTGAATGCTAAACGGAAAAGTATGGAGACTCATCTTTTAGCATCCTATCCTGCACCTAAAGGTAGCCAGACTACATGTATCAAAACCCTGGATCTGTCTTTTATTTTCTGGCTTTATTTCTCTGTTCTTATTTTCAGTAGTTATAAAACAGGAATAATGATAACGAACTCATTCACTCAACGTGTTGAGAGCATCAATCAGGCATTAATCTACAAGTAGTTTACTCTTTCACTTCAAAATGCAAGGGTCCTATTCTCACTGAACTTCCTTTCAAACAGAATAACAGTATAATGAATCTGCATTTATTATATGAGATAATGCATGGAAGTGCTTGGCACAGTACCCACTTCTTAATAACCACTCAAAAATTTAACTATTATAATATTTACTAGGTAACGCTGTTGGTTCTGGAGAAGGAAAAATGTTGAAAGTAGTGTTTTAGAAAGAATAGCCTATTAGCAAGAAATAGAAATTATTACAGAGGACTGAGATCAGAGGCCGAGAAACCAGGGATGATTTCTATAATTTTTATGGCCTCCTAATATTCTGCCTAAAATAAGTATAACTCTAAAGCTACTGAGATTTTGATCATTTTCTTTAGGGTGGTTCAGATGCCTCCCTCTTGCCAATAATAGATTCTGGCAATGAACTGCATCTTGGTAGTACACTTAGAACCATGAGTAGATGATAAACACAGCAAAGACCATGTTGTACCACAGCACACTCTCAATTTTTATTTACTGATCACAGGTGTCTAATATACTCGGTACTATGCCGTGCATTCTTCCCAAATTAAATAGGTTCTGATATCTGAAACTTCAAAAGTGAATGAAGAAGAAAAACATGCAAGCATATTCTTGCAAAGTGGTGTGTAATTCAATATGAAAGTTCCAAAGAGGAGCAAATGGTCATCAGAGAAGACTCTGCAGAGGGGATTATGGGATATCCAAGAATTAGGAGGGGTCTACCAGTCATAAATGGAAGTTAAAATAGTAGCATTCTTCATTCATACGAATGGTAATCACTAACATTCATTGAGCACTTACTATTTGTCAGTTACTGTCCTCAGTATTTTATAAGGATTAACCGACAATTCTAATAATAAACCATGAAATGGCTATTACTGTTATTCCTGTTCTGTAGATGAGGAAACTAAATCCCAGGGTCATTAAACAACCTGCTTATGGACACATAGCTATGAAGCCATGAAGGATGTATTTGAATCTGAGAAATCTAATTTTAGACCCCATGCTCATAATCATGTGCCCTTTCTCTATGGCATATATTGCACTGCACTAACTTCATATCTAATTAGTATTCTTTAGCAAAAGAACAAAAATTAAAAGGGAGAAATAAACAATCCGATTTTCAGTCCCTATCTATCCAGCCACCCCCATTGCGGAGGGTCCCTCAAACACCGATTTTCACATGTTGTAAGAGCAGAGGGTATAATCCCCTCACCTCTCACTTGGTCATGTGGCAAAAACGTGGCAGACTCGTGCCACAATCAGTTAGATTTGGAACAAGATATCCATCCCTCGGGATCACCTGCTACGTCACCTATCAATGTCACCCAAAGCAGACACTGGCCTGAAAGAGCAAGGTTAGGCAAGTAAACACTGGAAGAATTGGGAGTTTTATCAGCAGTTTTCCTTTCCAAACCAGTACAAAGCAGAAGTTAGAAGTTCACAGTCAACAGCAGTATGTATGTGACCTGACTGTGGGTATTAAATTGTCAAAAGTGAGAAGGGACTTTAACACAAACTGTGGATATTTTGTTTTACTGGGGAAGTAAATCCTCTAATAATCAAAGGATAAAACCAATCTTTCAGACTAGTAGAATATAACTTCTGTTATTAAAAAATGGTGCTTCTTTATTTTTCTTCCAAGGGCACAAAGAAAGAATAATAGTTTTTACAGCTCAAACCAACTGCAAAGACTTCCTTAAATTGCACAAAACTCATGGAATATAATCAAGATTTCCTAGTAATTTTCTCATAACTAAGTTTCACACTTATCCAAATATGGCTTTCCAATATTTAATTTGATGATAATTTAATTCAATATTTAATTTGAAGTTTAAACTAAATCAAGTAAGTGTAAACTCCAAAAACTAGCTAAACCTTGCTTGTTTCTAGTCATTCACACCATTCCATTTCCATGCAAGACGCATTCTGTTGTAACATGTTTTGTAGTCCACTTTACATGTTCGTGAATGTTTTCAGAATATCAGTTTAGCATAGTGGTCATGCGGCTTCCCTGGCAGCTCAGTGGTAAGGAATCCGCCTGTAATGCAGGAGACACAGCAGACTCGGGTTCAATCCCTGGGTGGGGAAGATGCCCTGGAGGAGGGCATGGCAGCCCACTCCAGTGTTCTTGCCTGGAGAATCCCGCGGACAGAGGAGCCTGGCCGGCTACAGTCCATGAGGTCATAAAGAGTTGGACACGACTGCAGCAGCTGAGCATGATAGTGGTTATCCGAACAGATTCTTGAGTTCTGATACCAGCATTCGAATCCTAGTTTCCCCACAGCCATAGGACTGAATTAGTCACTTAGCCATACTGGGTTTCAGCTTTCTTTTCTGTAAACTGGTGAAAAGATTAGTATGAACCACAGAGGGCTGCTGTGAAGATTAAATGAGTGAGCACATGTGGAGTTTGTGGAACAGAGGTTGACACATGGTGATTCTCAGTTCGTTTCTGCTCTTGCTCCCTAATTTTGTTTTCACACATTAAGTTATTTGATGTTCAAATCAGGCAAGATAAGTAGGGCTGCTACAAGCAGTCCTAGTTTATTTAGGTACTACATCCATGTAAGCTGCATTTTATGTTTGTATGTGTGTGTGTTAAAATTCTGATTGCACACATGCACTGTATCCTGATGAATTTCACAATGCTCTGCACATAGTGCACATTTATTAAGTATGCTATATCAGCAAAACAGATGAAAGATACTGATGAATTCAGGTATCAGTTTGCTGGAAATTGACAGAAACATGCAAATAAGTGGATAAAAAACAACAACAATTGGAAATATGACTTCTTATGAGGTGATATTAGCAAACAAAAAATGCACAGTTAAGGCAGAAAACCTAGGTTCTACTGTGCTATTGGACATTTGAGATATGTAGTCTCTTTGTGTCTAAACAGTTTGCTTATAGTAACTGTCCATTTCTAAAGAGTTAAAATGCTCACAACGCTCAGTATTTACTTATGTAAGGTACTATGTATCATTTGTTTGCACCATCTGAGGATCAGATCAAACCACAAGCCCTGTTGGAGTCACTGGGCAGGCGCTGGTCCCCTTCCCGGGCCCACTGGTCAGCCTGGGGGCTCAGATTTAGATCTAGTCTCCTTTAGTACTAGACCAGAACCCATTTCATCTCCATGGTTCAGAACAAAAACCTGCAAGGGATTGTACTCCACTATCTGTTCTCACAAGGAAAATGATCCTCTTTGTCATAGACAAGTTGACAAGTGTTAGTAACAACATGACCAAAATATTGATGAAACTGATAATCATAGAAGAGAAGCCCAGATAAAGACACTGGGTTGATTAGTAGGAAACCATGAAGAATCTGATTCTTCTTTTTTTTCCTTTTTAATTTTTTAACTAAATTTTCATAATGCAGTTCTTGATCAAATAGATACACAAGACAAATAAAAGGATAGGAATGAAGGTACTATGCCTGGTATGAGCTACCGAAAACAAAGATTAATGTCACTTAGTGATTTTTAATGTATTAAAAACTTTCAAATACAGGGTGAAAGACAATTCATAAAAAATAAAGGGAGAAAAGGAATAAAATACAAAAAATTTGAAAACTACGGTTCCCAAAACACACATTTTATTTATAATTATGGTGGACCAAAAATAAGCCTGTGCGTTTTCAGTCAAGTATAGAGAACAGTTCAGTTCAGTTGTTCAGTCATGTCCGACTCTTTGTGACCCCACGGACTGCAGCACGCCAGGCTTCCCTGTCCATCACCAACCTCTGGGGTTTACTCAAACTCATGTCCATTGAGTCAGTGATGCCATCCAGCCATCTCATCCTCTGTCGTCCACTTCTCCTCCTACCTTCAATCTTTCCCAGCAACAAGGTCTTTCCAAATCAGGTGGCCAAAGTATTGAAGTTTCAGCTTCAGCATCAGTCCTTCCAATGAACATTCAGGACTGATTTCCTTTAGGATGGACTGGCTGGATCTCCTTCCAGTCCAAGGGACTCACAAGAGTCTTCCACAACAACACAGTTCAAAAGCATCAATTCTTAGGTGCTCAGCTTTAGAATTCAACTCACACATCCATACATGACAAGTGGGAAAACCATAGCTTTGAATAGACAGACCTTTGTTGGAAAAGTAATGTCTCTGCTTTTTAATATGCTGTCTAGGTTGGTCATAACTTTTCTTCCAGGAGCAAACGTCTTTTAATTTCATGCCTGCACTCACCATTTGCAGTGATTTGGGAGCCCAAGAAAATAAAGTCTGTCACTGTTTCCATTGTTTCCCCATCTATTTGCCATAAGTGATGGAACCAGATGCCATCATCTTAGTTTTCTGAATGTTGAGCCTTAAGCCAACTTTTTCACCCTCCTCTTTCACTTTCATCAAGAGGCTCTTTAGTTCTTCACTTTCTGCCATAAAAGTGGTGTCATCTGCATATCTGAAGTTATTGATATTTCTCCTGGCAATCTTGATTCCAGTCTGTGTTTCATC